CCTACATTCCCAGCCTAACTATTTAACTTGCAGTTCCTTTGGGTCTTTCTTGATATCTTTAAAACAAGAAATTGGGAACAATGCATACTCCTAATAAGAAAGCCTTGTGTTTCTTGAGACCTGTGAAAAGTTATTTCTATATTTGTAAACGTGCACATTTTAAAATAAAATTACCGCATTCCTCACTGGAATTTTTTCTGCTCAGTGCAGAAACCTGACTTTTAAAGTGGAATTCAAAACCATGACTTCCATTAGCAGCCTGAGCTCACAGTGAGGGTGCTACTGTAACCTAAGCATAGCCTTTTGCTACATGTGCCTAAATATAATTTGGATTGTATTTAGAGGGAAATGAAAAGCTTCTTATGAAAATCAGCTCCCTTTGTTGAAGTCAGTCTTTTTGATTGTTTTGTTCTGTGTATCCCAACTTTAACACAAACTCACAGGTCTCCTGCCTTAGCCTCCCAAGAGCTGGGATTAGAGCTGTTTTTTAAATTCTAAAAATGTTTTTTTTAATTCTCATTAAACTTACATATTTTGTAAGTTTGTTTGATATGTGTGTGTGAGTGAACATGCACATGGCACAGCACCTATGGAGGTCAGGGACAGGTTCATGCAGTGGACTCTCCTTCCACCTCTACATGGGCCCTGGGCCTCAAACTCAGGTCACAAGACTCGCCTGGCAAGTGCCTTTACCCAGTGAGCCATCTTCCCTGCTAACAGTGGTTTAAGACTACAAATAAGTATCTTAACACCTCAATATTGTTTTAAAACTGTCTGAATGTACTGTCTTCTAATGCTCGTCATATAATTGGTCTTTATTTTGAACTTACTAGCAAACCACACCCTTTAAAGTGAGATATTACCCAATCATCAGGCAAAAGTCAGTTTTATTTTTCAAGCCGACATTGTAAACATGTTCTCTGATAATGCAACCCCAATACTTTATCATAAGGTATGCATATGCATATTCCATGGACAAATTCTTATGCTTGTTGCATTCCCGTCTACTCAGTTTTCGTTTTTCTTACGAACTTGGACTCTTCTGCTCTATTATCTATTTCCATTGTAACATAGACTTCCTGACTTTGAAGTTGGTGCCACAAAAGTAGAGGGTCCATTGACCAAAATGTGTTAACTAGAAATACGACTATCTGGGCTTCATATTCATAGTTTTCATGTCAGCTTCAGATAGGACCAAGATATTTCTACATCTTATCAAGTTCTATGTACAACCGGTTCTTGTGAGTAGACTGTATGCAAGGAACTTTCTTTTGTTTTGCTGATGCTAAGTATGAACACTAGATGGTGCTCTTGAGTAAAGCTTCAACCTCATCTAGAGTATAGTGCAGTGTTAAGTTTGGAGCGAATTGCAGTTATCCTTGAATATAATGAAATGGTAAGTTTCTAGAATTATAAAGAAAAAGCCAGCAGAAAACAAGCTTGACAAGAACTAGGAGAGAATGAGAGAATGCCCAATGAACTTAAAAATGGTAAATATATTCTCTTATTGAACATCATTTTCACAACCTTGGTACTTAAGTTTATGACTAATAAAGCAGATTGATAAATAAATCATCTTTCTTGGGCACTAAGTTTAATGTTAGTAAATGTGCCATGAGAAATAAGATCTTCCTTTGAGCTATTGTTTACATTGAAACTATTTTTTTCAATCCAGTTTCATAGTCCACAAGCAATTCAGAAGAGGGAAGAAATGATACATTGTCTTCCCTATGTTGTGATTGTCTCCAAAGACTAAACAGATTTTCATGGTGACAGTGTATGCTCCTATTTGGAAAAGAAGAAAAGACACCTTTAATTTGATATTTTTCTTTAAAAAAAATTGCAAAGGGGTTAGGGGCTCTTCATTTCTTCTTGTTTTATTTTTGATAATATTTAATTAGTCAATTTTAAATAGTTACTGTTTATTAAGCCGTGAACCCTGCTATAACCTGAACATATTCTTTATCCCTTAGAAGAACCCTGCAGCATACTACTTGCAGTATGTTACTGTTCAGTTAGGAAGTGGAAGAAATTTCAGCTGGGCATGCTGGTGCATGCTTGAGGTCTCATCACCGGGGAGCAGAGACAGGAGAATCTGCAGCTCAGGGCCTTGGCTGTATAACAGTTTGAAGGCCATCCTGAGCTACATGAGGCTCTGTCTCAGACAGACAGACGTACAAGAGAACCAACTTAGACAGGTTGTTAGGTGCACGTAGAGCACAAGTACTAGAAGAAGAAGGTCATGAGTTTGAGTTGGGTTTCCTCTGTCCAGGCTGAAGCCTCCAATCGATACACAGTTTTTGAGAGTCAGTTTTCTGGCTGCTGCTTCTCAGAAAAGTTATGGATTTAACTCACTAAAACTGGGGTTGGGGATTTAGCTCAGTGGTAGAGCGCTTGCCTAGCAAGCGCAAGGCCCTGGGTTCGGTCCTCAGCTCTGAAAAAAAAAAGACAAAACTCACTAAAACTAAGAAGCAGACGTGTACTCACTTGTCTCTAAGTGATATTTTACTCTGAAGCATTTTCTTTGAACCCAGACTGTATATAAAAACCCTTAACTGGATTGTCCTAAGTTATCAGGGGACTCAAGAACTTCCTAATGGCGGTATAGACCTCAGAAAGTGCATAGATCTTTCTTTCAAGCAGACGTGGAAATGGGATCAGAGTTTTACAGCAAAGTATCAATAAGTTGGTAGCTTGGAAGGAGATCTTTACAAGGGATAGTAAAAGAGGAAGCTGACGTTCAATTCAGATCATACAGGGAGAGACACTTTGACTCTGTTTACCCACCTTGAAGTAAGTAAAGCAAAGTCATGATGAAAGGATAAAGGTGAAGGGGTATGTGGGAGACTTCCATCCTCTGAGATTCTTGTTTATTCATTTTTCAGTCAGACATTGGGTACTTCTGCAGGACTTTGTGGATGATAGTTAAGGTTATACTATCACCTGATCTTAAAATGCAGCATGTCCATAGGTCTTTTCCACATCTCTCTGTGTGTCTGTGTGTGTCTATACATATATGTGTGTGTGTGTGTGTGTGTGTGTGTGTGTGTGTGTGTGTGTGTGTATACACAGTACAGTTACATGAACAGCAGGTCAGTCAGAAGATGTCATGAAAGAGCAGAAGAGAAAGCCATAGGGACACGAATCTTGCAAAGCATTTGAGTGATAGCTGCTCTCTGGTAAGAGTCTCGTGTGTAAGAGACTGTAAGCGAGGCTTTAGGAGCCAAGGGGAGCTCCTAACTGATAGCCAGCAGTGAGACTGAGATCAGCCGCACAGAAACAGGAAACTCATCTGCCGACAGTGTGACCAAGCTGGAGGCGGACTGTTCCTCTAGAGCCTCCAGTAAGTAAGGTAGTGCTGTGAAGGCTTTGATTGCAGCTTGGGAGACTTGGGCTGGACTTCTGATCCTCTGACACAGTAAGATGGTGAATATGTGTCTTAAGGTCCTACCGTGGTGACTGCTTGTCCACAGTGACTCAGAGGATGGAAGTCTCCCTGGTCCTGCCTTCCCACACAGCTGCTGTTTTCCTTATTCCCTCCAGGCTGTTAAGAATGTACCATTTGTCTAATTATAAACATCATACACATGCTTTGTAGCCTTTGTTTTCTCTTGTTCAGATACAGATTTCCTTGTTGTTATTTAGTTTTACTACTAATTACTTTCAAATTAGCATAATGCACCCTTTAGTAGACACAGCCTGGGATCTTAGGCCTGTTAGACGGTCTGTCACTTTTGAACTTTCACCGTCATACTGCGCTGGATACTTCTGTGCATATGACCTTGCTCATGAGGGTCCTGACGTACATTCTGGGGTGTAGTGTCACTTAGACAGAGGGTATGGTTTGGTTGCTCGTTAACAAAGCTGAAGTGACTTACAACTTTAGTCTACCAAAATCACGACACGTTCACTGAATTTACTGCCACCCAGTAGTACTGCCAACAGAGAGAAATGATCGCCGGGAACTGTTCTGTTTAGTAGTTTCTCATCTCCGCAAAGATCTATAAGCAGCCACTGAGAGTTTCAGGGCAGCGAAAGCTGAACAAGGCGATTGCCTGGTTTGGAGAAGCAGAATGGGGGGGACGTTATGATTTAACCCTCCACTCGTCCTAGAGATGGGAGTTCATGGCACCAAAGCCCATTTTTAAACCCTCTTGAGTTTTCATTAGCTGGCAGTTCTGGTGTGCTAATATATTCTTGCCTTTTACATCTAGCTTACTGATTTTCTAACAGCCATTAAGCCCATAGTTATAGATGCGCTTGTAAGTTCTCAACTTATATCCCATATATATCTGAAAAAAGGAAAACTTAGAGATAGAAAAACAAAATGATAAGTATACTTTGAGTAGAGACCAAGTGTGAACTGAAGTATTGTACATACTTCAAAGCCAGGCACCCAGAACACAGGTTTAAGACTGAAGTATGAATATGCATTTTCTCTAGGGCGATGGAACAGTTTACACCTTTAGCTTACTCATGTGTCAAGAAGCAGTGAGTCAAGGTGGATTCTAGAGCCTGTTGTGTGGGCTACCTCCAGCATGTCACTTAACCTCTGGGCTGGTTTTCTGATGAGCCTTCAACATTATCTCATGTAGAAATGGAGACAATGGGCCTTAATGTGTAAGAGGACTTGCTGGGAAACCAAGGGGACCTGATTTCAACCCCCAGCACCTACATGAAAGCCAGGCATGGCTGTGCATGCCTGTAACCCCAGCTGTCGGAGGTGAGGGGCTAGCCAGCCTAGCTGGAGCAGTGAGCTTCTGGTTCAGTGAAACCCTGTCTCTAAATACAAGGTGAACGGCAGTAGAGGAAGACTCCTAGTATCCTCTGCTGGTCTGCATGTGCGCACAGCCATGTACACCCTCACCTATGTGCATCATATGTACATGCAGAAGGAAATGGAGCTTTGGTACTAAAATACTGTTACGGAACAATTCTCGGGTTAAACTGCTCTGGGTTCTGTACAGAAACTGTATTTTCACACATGCTTTGTTTTCTAGGGTCAAATCTTAATCGCTGTGGTTTCCGAGGCTCTTCATACCTGGGTATTCCATTCAATCCATCAAAGGTCAGTTCTGTTTAGGTTGGAATGTGGGAAAAGGACATAAAGAGATTTAGTAGATGAAGACATTTAGAAAAAACTAAGCTTCTAGGTTCAGTATGCTAAATAGAAAAAGAAATGTCTTAAGTGAAGCCTTTAGCCCCTTTCCTAGTTTTTTGGCACATATATATATAGAAATTGATGTTGTTACCAAAACTTATCTCTTATTATTATGTGTGTGTAGAAGTTATTAGTGATTTCCTGGAGAAACTGGAAACACAGTGCTCAGGAACTTCTGTGAAGCCGGTGAACGTCCTGTGCCACAGGACTTAGTGCTGGGCTCGTGTTTCTCTGGAGAGTGGGAGCTGCTCTCCAGGAAGTGACTGGGGACCCTGGCTAATGACTTTTATAGCAGGAAGCTGAGCTTCCCCAGCATTTTGGGCTGAGGCTTTTGAACCAGCCCATGCCAGTGTACAGGGAAGAAGTGGAGGAGCAGGCCCAGAGCGAGCACTGGCCGTTCCACTGTGGCAGAGTGACCAAGGGCCGTTCCACTGTGGCAGAGTGACCAAGGACCCACTCACAATGGGAAGTGGAGAAAAGTTGTTTTTCCTTCCTTCCTTTCTTTCACCATGATGTACAGTGTGGACCTCAGGGCCTCAAGCATGCCAGGCTCTCCCAACTGAGCCATATCCCTGCCCCCTTTCACCTCTTTTTGTTTTTGGTTTTTGAGACAGGGTTTCTCTGTAGCTTTGCGCCTTTCCTGGATCTCGCTCTGTAGACCAGGCTGGCCTCGAACTCACAAAGATCCACCTGCCTCTGCCTCCCGAGTGCTGGGATTAAAGGCGTGCACCACCACTGCCCGGCCCCCTTTCACCTCTTTACAAAGAGGTCTCGAAAGCTAAGGTGCTTGAAAGCTCATAGCTGTGGGAGCCTGAGATAGGAGGCCTATAATGAGTTTGAAGCTGGCCTGCATTCTATAAGCAGTTCCATGCCAACCTGGGCTACAAAGTAAAAATGTGCCTCAGAAACAGAGAACACACCAAAAAGAGGCTTTTCTGCAATGGGTTCGTCTGCTTATAGAATGGTTATCAGTCAGTATGGGATTACTCTTGAGAATTTCAAGAATCATGTGTAGTTGCAAGAGGGGGTGAGAAACTCGCAGTTGTTTATACTTTGATTCAAGATTCTGGAATAAGTAGCAGTGATTGTAGTGATGACAAGATTTGGTTGAAACTCTTTGGGCTTTATTCTTTTCACTTAAACTGTAGACAAGCTTATCTGAATCATGGTCAGATGACATCAGTAAGATGTCTCCAATCGAGTGCCTTGATAGCAGGGAATATGATAACAAAGGATTCATAAAATGTGTTTCTTTTTTTTTTTTTTATACATGAATTTTCCAACTTAAGTGAACCCTGAATAAAGGGAGTCCCTCTGGTTAGTCATAGGAGCAGAATTATCTGTCTTGACATAGGGAATGATGTTTATTGTGTAGTACAAGATCATGTGCAGATGTAAGCTGTACTTGTTGATGTAAAACAGTGATATATTACATCTTCACAAGATAATCTCTACCTCAAAGGCATCTCATAGCATATTTTTAAAATTTATTTTGATACAGTTGCAATATTGCCCAAGTTGACCCTAAAATCCTGGCTTAAGCCTCCCAATTAGCTGGTACTGTAGATGTGCACCATTGCATTTGAATCTCTGCACAGTTGAGAAATAATCTCCCTTAATGAAATGTTTGCTGCTGGTTCACAAGTTCTTGTGAAACCCAATTTTGGCCCTCAGTGTACCTGGCCTGTCCCCTCTGAGGAGCCAGGTCTCACTGTATATGGCCTTCGACTGAATCTCTGTGGTAACAGGAGCTAGAGACTCATATGAAATCACATAGGCCTACAAAAAGCTGTCATAGAGGATGAGAGTGTAGAGTCTATGAGACATACTAACCTGAGGAACCGGGAAGAGATTTTTCCAGTACCATATATAAAGAAAACAGCTTCATCATTTCTTTTCAGAAACCACTGAACCACCTGTGCGCCTTTGACATTCTAATACATGTATAGACACTCATGGATCCACTCACCTTAACCTTTCCACTTATTTTGCATCATAAATCCTATACTCTGTTAAATTATGTAATGCTTTTAATGCCCCATGATTTTCCTTCCCTGCTTCACTTTTATTTTCTTGTCCTTATCTGTACTATCCCTCTTTCTGCAGGAAAGAGTCCCTGTTTAAATCTGTGTAGTACCGCATCTCTTTCATGACCGCTTGAATGACCGACTCTGGATTGTAGTTATGTGCTCTCTTAAAGATCACAGTTCACATTTAATTCACGTTCGGATTCCCTATCACTCTTTTAAAATAGCAGGTGTTTGGTTTAAATACCGAAAAATGAGACCTGCTTTGGCCATTCCAAGAAGGCCATTATAGCTGTGAAATAGAATAGTCAAGAAAATTAGGGCTTGAGTTCTGAGGAGGGACTTAAAAGGTGTTAAGATGAAAATTGGTTTGGTGTTAGTGAGACCATATAAAAGAATTGTATGTAAGGGTGGATCAGTGGGTGGCTTCAGGCTTCAAGGGTATTGAATATCATGCAGATTTGCTCTGTGAAGAAGCACGGGTCATTGTGCAAGAAAATTGTGGGGTTAAGTTGCTAACCCTTTTTAACATACATACACAAAACCTTATTGGCTAGATTCCTTATATGAAGCTTAAATGTGGTTTATTTCTGAGATTGTGTGACCTTGCTTCTTCTTATACAGTTGAAGTCCTTACATTTACTTCTTATATTCTGAATGCTAATGTTTATTAGAGGTTGAAATGATTAAACTTCATGACAGTAGGATAATAAGGTTATGTGGTGAATAATAATGTATTTAATTTAGGTTTGTACCATATACCATAGCTTTTATTTTATTTTTTTTACAGTTCTGGGAATTAAACCTACACAGTAGGCAAGCACTTTACCCTTGAGCTATATTCCAAGCCCAAATTTTGCTTCTTTTTATAAATTTTTGGTTTTAAATATTGAATGAGTTTTTAACTTTATAAGACATAATTTTTTATAAATATAGGCTTGAACTAAGTAGAAAGTTTCAAATACATGATTTATTCAAATGTCTTAACTATTTTCATAAAGTTGGAGGAGTATAAGATTTTGAAAATTATGTAGCTTTGTAAGAAGACATATTGGGACATGTAAAAATTGAGGCTTTTTTTCCTCAGGTAGGTATCTATACAAATTGGTATAAGGAACATTTACTAAAACCTCATGTCAAACCTCATTTATGAAATAAAATTTAAAATTTCAATTAATTTAACATACTATTAATTTTGAATTTAGAACCCTGGAACAGCTCATCCTTATGACAGTGGACACATAGCGATGACCTACACTGGCCTTTCGTGTCTAATTATTCTTGGAGATGATCTAAGCCGTGTAGATAAAGAAGCGTGCCTAGCAGGCTTGAGAGCACTTCAGCTTGAAGATGGGAGGTAGGAGCTATTCGTTATTATTTTATGTTTACATAAAAACTATTTGGAACTAGAATATATACTGGATATAATACTATAGTAGATCTTTAGAGGATCATATTCTCTTTCTAGCACCATCCAGGACTGGAGTACAACTCAAGAGTTAGTGCACAATTAGTGTGTGAAGGCCCTGGATTAGATCCCCAGTTACACAATGGAAAAGTGCTGAATGGAAAAAGTACCTCGATTTATATGAACAAAAATAAAGCTCACTTTCTAGTAGAACTCCTTTCTCTTTAATTTGCCTTCTGGATGAAACAAATGTTTTGAAATAAGCTATTTAGTTTGAGTATCCTTGAAAGTACTTCTGGGAAAGAAAGGAATGCACATTAAAAACTATGTTCAAAGTGAGGTGGCTTGCTCTCCAGCTCATTGAGGGACACATTTAAATGATAGAGAAGTTAATGCTCATGACACTTGGTGGTTTATGTAAGAGTTTAGGTCACGAACAGTTGTAAGTTGTTAATGTGATGAAGTTGGTAGCCATAATCTCCAGTCAAAAGACTCCGTGGACCAGTCTGCTGCTGTGTTCCGTCCCTGCCCTGTACACGGTGGTCCTTATTTCCTTGTCAGTGTTTTCAGAACACTGTTCTTGACTAGGGAAAAATGACCGTAGACATAATAAACGGACATTTGAGAATCTGCTGTTGTCCTGGATTGTTGCCATCAAGAGGACAGGGACACAGTATTACCTCTTCAAAACTAAACAGAATGAAACTCAATATAATAGATCAGTTAATAGTTATCTATATATACATTGAGAAGAAATTTCACATAATAAAATTTGGGTTTAGCAGTTTCTTACTACCAAATAATACGTGTGAGGTTTTACTTGCTACTTTTTCTGCTGCCCTTACTGGGAGTAAATTCTTAGTCTGAATAGTAGTATCTGGGCAGTGACAACTCATGAGGATAAGTGATTTCAGGTCATTTTATACTGTGGAATGTGGTGGGAGGAAAGTCAGCAGTAAAGGGTTCTGTGAGTAAAGACACATGGCATATGTTCCTGGCTTGAGTTAAAGGATCTTAATGCAGCTTCACATCCTTGTTTTCAGTTTTTGTGCTGTTCCTGAAGGCAGTGAAAATGACATGAGGTTTGTGTACTGTGCCTCCTGTATTTGCTATATGCTCAACAACTGGTCAGGCATGGATATGAAGAAAGCCATCAGCTACATTAGAAGAAGTATGGTGAGTTATGTTGTTACAACTGGACCAGTCGAGGTTACTGCTGGGACTGAGGGCTGCAGTATAATGCAGACCTCATCTCTTCATCAAGATTGAGAAATAAAGAGTCGGAAGATAAGGTTTTTGGTGGATTGTTTCTCAGAATATCATATGGAAATAATCTCAAAGATCATATTGGTTTCTTGCCCATTAAAATGTATGCTTACTTGTGTTTTCTAATCTAATTTTAAAGATGATAACTAGAAATGTTCCTTTCACACAATACAATTTATTCTAGCAGTGATAAGGAGAGCTTAGCCACAGCCAGGGTCACCTTTTGTTCCTGCATCTTCTGGATAAATTAGAGGTGGCAGAGCTGCTCTCCAGGCTTATCACTTCCCAACTTTGAGGGTTCACAGTTTACAGATGAGAGTTCTTAAGCTGATTAAGGGTAATTAATTCAACCTCTAGCAGATCTGTTACTACCTCACACTGGAATGTCTGAGCTCTTAGAGGAGTAGAATTGGTTTAACTATGCATCAGATGTTTTGTTTTGTTTTTGAGATAGGTCTCACTATGTAGCCCTGGCTGACGTTCAGCTCACAGAGATCCTACTGCTTCTGCCTCCTGAGTGCCTTATGCATGGATTTTATTGAATGTATAATACACAGAGTTTAAAAGCTTGTGACTGCAAAAAGAAAAGACTTTGAAGAGTTTTGAGAGGAAAGAGCCATGAGCAGAGCTTATTTCTATAATCTGAGAGCTGTCTGGAGGCTGAGGCAGGAGGATGGCTGAGAATTTGAGGGAGGGGAGGAAGGATTGAGAGTGGGGGGTAGAAAGAAGGGAGAAGGAAAGTAACATGTTAGGGGTGGGTGATAAATGTTTATTCGTCCTATTTCTGCTCACTTGGGTAAGGTGGCAGTTTTCACTGTAGAACTAGTGTTTTTCTTTTTGTGATTATTAAGCATTTCATGGTAAAATATGTGGAGAATAAGTAGCCTGTATCTCATAACCTTTTATTCATTCATGTTGTAGTGTGCATGGTTTTCTACCCTAGTACCTATCCTATAATAAGTGGAAATTCCATTATAAAAAGCCTTCTCTCTGCCTTCATTTCTTTATTTACACTGTAAAGATTTATACTGTGGACTGTATTCTTATTTTAGTCAATGGGATATAGTCTTTCAGTATCACATTATCCCTAGTTAGTGTTAACTGTTACCTTGACAAAGGAGTCTCAAGTGAGGGATTGCTTAGGTCAGATTGGCCTGTGGGCATGTCTGTGGGAGATCATCTTGATTGTTAATTGATGGAGAAGGACCCAGCCCACTGTGGGCAGCCCCACACCCTGGTCAGATGGTCCTGAGCTATATAAGAAAGCTAGAAACTTGAACCCCTGAGCCAGCAAGCAGCATTCCTCCATAGTTTCTGCTTCAAGTTGCTGCTTGAGTTCCTGCCCTGACTTCCTCAGTGATGAACTATAAGCTGAAATAAACCCCTAAGTTACTTTTGGTGAAAGTGTTTTATCATAGTTGGAATGAGAAACACATTATATTTTGATGCTCGGGTTGTTCCAGATTTGGTCAGTGAGAACTTTTTCAGGCAGGGTCAGTACCTTTTTGACATGCTCCCTTCCCTCCTTGATGACTTCCTTGCTTTCTGGGACAAGACACTTCAGTTTCCACTTGTCCTTTTTTTAGCCTTGGGCCTGCAGCCATGCATTTCTTGAAGAAGCCCTGGCCCTTATTGAAGGACACTGTTGAGAAACAGGGATCTGGGTTCTAAGTGTGCTTATTAACATGGGATATTATTGCTTCTAGGCCTTTCTCATCAGGCAGACTAGGAAAGTTAATATATGTATGTATATATAGACCCTTATACACATACATGCAAACACAGGCTGCTTCTGTGTGTTTTTAGGAGCCTGTATGTTAAGAACCATGAGTCTGTACAGATAAGCCCAACTTGCAGTTTACTGCATTGGATCTATTTAATTTCCTTCTTTGATAAGTTATTTATTCCAACTACGGTTAGATTTATTTATTTCTGTTTGAATTCCTTTTGTAGGTATTCATTCCATTTAGACTCCCCATCCCTCCAAAAGTTGTTGACCTTTATTTATTTACTTAGAGTATTATTTACCTAATATGTGTAACAACCTGCTTTTGTCTGTCAGAACATTAAAGGAAAAATTCTGAGAAGTGTAACTTCTTACTCCCCTTTATTTACCACCCTTTTCTAACCTCCAAACCTGCCATCTTGTTCCTGTTCACTCTGTAGGTAACATTATTTTCTCATTTACCTTTCCTGTGTTTGATGAGAAGATCCATATGCTTTTTACTTCTTATTAAAATGACAACCCACTTCTGGTACTCTAATCTGTATTAGACATGTATGTATGTCAAACGGGAGTTTATTAGAGTGACTTACATAGGCTGTGTTCTGGCTGGTTCAACAATGGGTATCTCCTGATGGGAAGGCCATGAATCTGGTAGTTGTTCAGTGGCTGTGAAGCTAGATGTCTCAGGCAGTCATCAGTGTACTTTGGAATCCCAAAGAAGTGGATTTTAATACTGGTGAAGGAATGCCTTAGCAACAGGATAAACTTGCCAGTGAGAGTAAGAGCAAGTAGGCAAAACACAAAAGCTTCCTTCTTTCATCTTTTTATGTGGGCTGCCACCAGAAGATGTGGTGATTTAGGATGGGTCTTCTCACCTCAAATAATCCAACCAAGAACAATCGCTCACAGGTGCTCTGAGCTATGTGGGTTTTAGTTAATTGTAGATTAGTCAAGTTGACAAAACTATCCCACATAAAAGCAAACACATCATTTATTGAAGCAGGTCATACTGCAGTTACCTTTTCTGGTAATATGCTTTTTTACTTTTTCTTTCTTTTTTGGGGGGGTTAATTTGGTAATTTGAATAATATGCCTTGAAAATCACAGTTTTCCTCGTTTTTTTCTTATAGTTTTATATTTTATATATATAATGTATATATAAATAAATATGTATTATATTTTTTTCTTATAGTTTTACATTACTTAAATATGTGGTTATAACATAGTCTCTTCTAAAATTCTCTATTTACAACTATTCTGTATAGAGAGTATATTTTTTTACTTACAAACAGTGCTGTTGTTATTGATAACCTTCTGCATATCTTTTTATATATTACAGATACATCTTTAGGTAAATTGTTTTGTCAAAAGCTAAGTGCATATGCAATTTTATTGGCTATATTTTGCTTTCTACTCCATGCAAAGATGGACCACATGGACCAGGCTTGAGTAGTACTCTTGTTGCTGCTCAGCTCACTGCCCTTAAAATGTTTTCAGTAAGCCTGTTTCTTCTTTAGGAAAAAAAGGAACAAACTTAAAAAGATGAGCCAATTTGCATTCCAACCCCCACAGGAGAGTGCCCTTTTCCATACAGCCTTGCCAGTAGAACTTTACACTTGTTTAAAAGCTCCTTGTCTTTGTCTTTGTCCTGTCCTATCCCCCCTGCCCTCCTCCCATGCTGGGACCTCAGTCTCTGCATGGTAGGGAAGCACTCCCCAGGAACTGTCACCAGCCCTGTTTTGTTTCGGGTTCTCTGTATTTCAATTTTCTATGTGTCCTTTGCTTGTCTTTCATTTCAACCACTTTCTTTCAGGCATTTTTACTTCTTTTGATGGTGATCAAAACAGTGTTTAAGATCCAGCCCGGGACCAGGCACATGCTAAGCAAGCACTCTACCACTGCGCTCCATCTCTGTGCCATTTCTACCTCCGTAGATCAGATTTATATTCGTGGTTGCTTTCTGACTTTATTTGGGTTCCCTTCTCTTTTAGAAAGAGGTTTATTATTTGTAATTTTGTGTGTGCTGGGGCAGGGAGGGGGTTATGCACAGGAGAGCAAGGTGAGTGTGGAAGTAAAGGAGTTAGACCCCCTGGAACTGGAGTTGCAGATGGCTGTGAGCCTCTCCAGTGTGGGTGCTGGGGACTGAACTTGAGTCTTGTCTCCAAGCAGTCTATGCTCTTAAGCACTGAGTCATCTCTCCAGCCTCTCGGTTTCCCTTTTTGTGTTTTAATTTTAAAGAATTGCACCCTAGGAGTCCTGTAATTTAGTCCTTGTTTTGTTTTTTTGGAGTTTTTGTTTGTCTGTCTTTTTGAGACAGAGGATTTCTGTAACCCTGACTCTCCTGGCACTTATTGTGTAGACCAAGCTGGCCTCGAACTCACAGAGATCCGCCTGCCCCTGTCTCCTCAGTGCTGGGATTAAAGGTGTACACCACCACAACTGGCTAATCTCTCTACACCTGGCAAATCTTTCTTATTTTATTTTTGTTTCTTTTTGTTTGTTTGTTTTTCTTCAAACCATTTAACACATTATTTCTTTCTACTGTTAGTCCATTTCTTCTTTTTGTGTGTGTGTGTGTGTGTGTGTGTGTGTGTGTGTGTGTGTGTGCGCGTGTGTATGTGTGTGTATGTACTTGTTAGTGTGGGTGTGTGTGCATGTGTGAAGGCTGGAGTAGATACTGGGTGTTCTTCCTTGGTAGCTCTCTACCTTTGTCATTTCATACAGTCTGTCACTAAACCTGCAGCTCATTGGTATCCCCTGTCTTGGCATTAGCTACTCTAGTGTTGGGGTTACGGGCATCTGCCACTGAGCCTGGCTTTTATGTGGGTTCTGGGTCCAAACTCAGGTCCTGGCACACAGGTACTTTACATACTGAGCTATTTCCCCAGCTCTCTGTTTTTAATGTGTGATTTCTTTTTCATATTCTTAGTGTTTGTTTGGGGATGTGCAGTTGAGTTTTGGGTGTTGGGTTAAATTTCCTACTTTCCTTCTGTCTCTTTGGCTGTATCTTGTCTATACAGACTGGCTTTCATAGACTGAGAGTTGTGTTTTCATTAACAGGAACTAGATAGATTTTGTTTAGTAAATTTTTCTTCTCTTAAAAGTATTGAGAGCTCAAGGTTGCCCATTTTTCTTTTCTTAAAAAAATATTTATTTTGTGTGTGTATATGTATACCATGTGTGTCCAGGACCCCACAGAGGTCAAAAGAACCAACAAATCCCCCAGGACTGGAGTTACACTTGGCTGTGAACCACTATGTGGGTGCTAGGAACTGAACCCGGGTCTTCTCCAAGAGCAGTAAGTGCTCTTAACCACAGGGCTACCTCTCCAGCCCCAGGTTGTCCTTTTTTCATTGCAACAAAGTATGATTTCTTTGAGTGATTTGGTGGGGGGGGAGGGGACTGTAACATGAAATCTAATAGGTCTTTTAATTAAAAAAAAACAAACCTGGAGCCAGATATTAGGATAAATGCTAAAAGATCAGAGAGACAAAAGAACAAGCTACTGCCACATCTCACCTTGCCAACTCCACGAATCCTCTGACTGAACACCTCTGAGACCTCAGCCAAAAGCTCTCCAGCTGAAAAGCTTTAGTTCCTGTCTCCTCACACCTTATATACCTTTCTCTGGCCAGCCGTATCACTTCCTTCTTAGTGCTAGGATTAAAGGTGTTGTGCTTCCCAAGCAAAGGCGTGAGATCTCAAGTACTGGGATTAAAGGCGTGTGGCACCACTGCCTGGCTCTGTTTCTCTCTTAGATTGAGTAGTAAGTAGTCCAGGGTGGCTTTGAACCCACAGAGGTCCAGACAGATCTCGGCCTCCCAAGTGCTAGGATTAAAGGTGTGTGCCACCACTGCCTGGCATCTGTGTTTTAATCTAGTGTCTTGTTCTGTTCTCTGACCTTCAACTAGAGTACACAATATATCACCACAGGAAACATGATATATTCTGTGATTTTTTTTTTTTCTGACAGAAAGGAAATCTTCCTTTTTCTCAGGCCTCTAAATTTTTCTCTTGAGTTGTCCTTTATTACCTGGGCTTCAATGGCCCATTTCTTCCGTGTTCACTGTTCTTGTCCAGAAGTCGTGGCCTTTGAACACTGCCCACTTGACTTGCACTCCTTCTCAGGCTGCTAGTGTAGCCCGTCTTTATTTGCACAGCGCTAAAAGCCCCAGGGATAATGAAGAGCCTTGTTAACTGCAGGGAGGCAGCAACTACTATTAACCAAGTTTGAAAAAGAAGGTATCATTGGTCATGATCATGCTGCACAGTTTCTATATATGTAAAGATTTGTGGACTAAAGAGCTTGTATATTATGCAGTTAGTGTGTTTACAAAGATTTGAATCTTTTTATTATTTAAACTGTGGTAACTGGGATTAATATGTCCTGGGGCTGAGCAGAGTCTAGACTGTGTATTTTCACTCTTAGAATGATCTTAGGCAGTGATTTTAGATCAGTCTTAATGATTCTCCCTCATAATTCTTCACAAATTACCACTGGTCTTTGTAAATGTTGATAAGAGCTAGTTGGCTGAGATTTGGTACTGCTTCTATAGGCAAGTAATCCGAAGCTTCAGAATGTCTCTGCAAAGTTTGAGTTGTAGAAATTTTATTGTTCTTATATTGTTTTGATTTTGGAAGATACATGAAGTCCTTGAAATTGAGGTAGGTGGCTGTCAATCCATCCTCAGTAAGCCAAAAGTGTCTCATAATAAGTGTATTATTGAATGACTGAAGTTGAGTTGGCATGAAGTCCTTGTGTTTTCGTTCACTGTCTGCTCACATGGAAGAGTGTGAGTTGGGGATTGTTATTGACAGAAGCCGAGTATGCGGCACCCCACCCCCTCCCCACACACTCTCAGTGCCCCTCTGTGAAAGCACGTCATGGTTCGGCCTGCTGAACAAGAGAAGAATGGAGACTGCAAATGTCCACTTTTTCTGTTCTGGAGAAAGTACTTACTTTAAAAGATAAAAGAGATCAGAACAGTTAGCTTATTGGCAACTGATCTACTATTAGAATTATTATTCTCCATTAAACTAAATAGTGTTTTTCTTTTTCAGTCCTATGACAATGGGCTGGCACAGGGAGCGGGCCTTGAATCTCACGGTAAGACTTCTTAAATGGTGTGTACTTTTAAAATAGCATGTGGTATCTTTAGCACAAAAAAGTCTCAGACTGTCCGAACCCTTGCTGTAGAAAGACTGTCTTTGTCATTTTCCCACATCTGTCTTTGACACTGTGGTACTTAACCTGTCTGGAGCCTCTTAGATCACTAATCATTAAGAGATTATTCAGGCCAGAGAGATTTCTAGTAATATGTTAAAATGTTAGCTGCATGAATGTATCTTGGTATGTTGTTTCTTAGGCTATCATTAGAAAACAGCAGGTTATTTTCTTTGTCATAACAATTGAAAGACTAAACCAAAAAAAATATTGAACATGAAAAACTTTATTTCCCTTCCATACTACAATTATCTTTAGTGATAATCACAATACACTTTCTGTTGAACTAGTCTGCTTGCACATTTTCCCTCATTTTGGACAGGACTAGAATAGTGAGGTGGTAGCCGTTAAGTTTGTTAGCGCATCAAAAATATGTGCCCTCTCAAATCACAGTCTCTCTCTATTCAGAAGTAATCAGGCCTCCATTCCTATTTTTGAAGAAGTAAGCCCAGAAGCTGGAGACTCAGATGAGCTTGAGGTTCCTCATCACTGGGTGTGCTGTGCTGTGCCCACTTGGTGCCTCCATCCTCTACTAGCATGATTGTCCCCACATGTCACAATGTGTAATCTCAGAGCTGTGCACTCAGGTTGAAGTTATTAAGTAATTTAGCTGCTGCTCTGTGCTAGCTATCATTTGATGATTTACGTATTATTTTATTGGGATACCAGCACTCTTTGTAAGTGACAGGTTCAGTCAGAAAGGCCAAACCACTGTGAGGATTAAAAGGAAAAGGACCTATTACAGGAACATGCCTTTACCTACCTGTACTTGGTTGATTATTATTGGGACAAAATACCTGACAAACAGCTGTGGAAGGAGGGCTTTATTTTGACTCACAGTAAAGGGTGTAGTCCTCATGGAAAAGTCGTGGTTGTAGGAGATTGAGACATCTAGTCACACCTGCAGGTAGGAAGCAGGGAGATGAATGCTACTGTGGAATGGTGTTCTTACTAGGGTGGGTCTTCCCACCTCAGCTAACATAATGTAGAAACTTCCATAGTCAATCAAATCCTGTCAGGTCGTTGACAGTCAGAATTAACTATTACACTCCTTACGAATGAACATGGAATAGAGTCTCAGAGGAGTAGAGTAGTGTGGCTGTGCCCATGCTCAGGCCCCATAGCCCTCCAGCAGCCCTCACTCTGAGCTGTGGAAGGATCGCCAGACTTACTCACGCCTGCAGCCTCTCTGCTGGTTCTCTTTTTCCTTTAGGGCCAGTGGTCCTCTGTGTCTGCTTCTGCTTGTGTCCTTTGTTTGAGTTTGACCTTTCCATTTGTTATTCACTGTCACCTGATGGTGAGACTCATTTGTCCCCACCCAGCCCCGAACAAGCTCTCTGATTTCTGTGATGCTGGCTTCTTTCTGCTCTCGTTTGTCACTGTTTATCTGTTAGGCTGTAAATGAGTCTTTGCATCTTCTTTCCTGAGCTCACCTACATTATACTTGTGTCTCTAGTGTATGTTGTATTGATTGTTCTCTGTGGCACTTGGTGTCCCTGGCATGGAAAGTTGAGTTTGAACTGTCTGTTTCAACTTAATGATTGTAGATGTTACAGTTTTATTAAATAAGAAACACAGAGCCAAATGCAGAGTTAAAAGCCCAAGAGGTCAGAGCAGTAGCTAAGAGCTGATACTAAAAACCCTTTCTTACCCTTCACTGCTGCTGCTGTCCTTCCCCTTGTTGGAGAAGGCCAATATGCTGCAATACAAACACAATGTTTATATGATAACCAAACCCTAATTCTGTGTCGAATGGCAGCCTTGAATGCATGGGACAGAGTTGAGGAACCAGGAAAGAAAACTGAGTCATTTACAAAGGTTATACAGGGCCCAAAAGAATCCTTCACAGATTTCTTACAAAGACTGTCTTCAGCAGTAAAGAGAATGGTGTGGAATTCAGAAGCTAGCAAGATAATAATCGAATCTTTGGCTTTTGAGAACGCGAATGCAGCATGCAAGAGAATAATCAGGCCGTTAAAGGCACGATCTGCACCCTTGGAAGATTGGATTAGAGACATGCTTAATATTGAGGCTCATGACCATGATGATATGTAGGTAGGAGAAGCAATTTCAAGAGGTTTGAGGAATGTCAGATGTTTTGGATGTGGAAAGCAAGGACATTTGAAAAGGGACTGTAAACAGGGCATTCCTAGAAACAATGTTTCTTCAAGGAACAATGGCAACAGAGTGCCCCTTCTGGAGTATGCAGAAGGTGTGGTAAGGGAATATACTGGACCAACGAATGTAGGTCAACAAGGGACAGGCAAGGTAATACTTTGCCTCTTTGGGAAACTCCCAGAGGGGCCTCAGGCAGGGCCCCCACAGCAAATCCAGTTCAGACCTTTCCTGCAGTCATAGAGGAAACCTCTACTCAGAGCAATTAAATAACCAAATGCCTATTGGAATAAACCTGACTACTCGGGATGATGAAACAGAGAATAGAAAATTCAGGAGAAAACATAAAGAAAATTTTTTGGCAAACTTCTATAAATGAACAAAGACCAAAATTAACGATAAAAATAAATGGTGTTTTGTTTTCTAGTCTGGTAGACACAGGTGCTGATGTGACCATAATTGCACCGGAATTTTGGCATCCAACTTGGCCTCTTCAGGAGGTAAATGTTCAGCTGTTAGGAATTGGAACATTATCTCAAGTGAAACAGAGGGCAAGAAGGCTCAAATGTATAGGTCCAGAAGGACAGAGAGGAAAATTAAAACCATATGTGGCTAACATAGCTTTGAACCTGTGGGATCAAGACCTGTTACAACAATGGAATACTCAGATTAACTTCCCTCCAACCTCAGAAACAAATCATAAACTAGCACATGTTTCTGAGAGAAATATTAGAAGGTATTATTCTAATGTAATGATATTGTGGCCTCTTCATGTGTTCTTTCTTACTCCTTACTCCCCAGTCTAAATATGTAATATATTGGGTTGGGGTCGGGGGATTTTCTTTTTCTCCTTTTTTTACATCTGTTGTTTCATTTCTGTCTTTTGCTTGGTCTATATATGGAATCAGAGAGACTGAGCAGGCAAACGGTGACCTCCTGGGCCTTGATTGTCAAGTGTGCTGCTCACTTTATCTCACTAGTTTACCAGGAGCAGACCACTTTGGAGTATAGTTTTAATGTGTTCTGCAAGGATTGAGCTGTTTGAGTTTGCTATGGATAAAATTATTTTTTGTCTCAAGATTCATAATAGGAAGCTCAGATAAATGAATTTGATTCTATGGTTCTTTTTAAATATCTCTACTTTATATATATGTGTGTGTGTGTGTGTGTGTGTGTGTGTGTGTATATATATATATATACCTCTTAATCCAGAACAGAAATGTTAAGTCCCTTTGGCCTTAATTTTCTTTGAACATTGAATTCCCATGAACTTACTTCTCTTTTTAGTATGGTGCTTAAGTATAAAATGTACCTGTTTATGTGCGTGTGTTTAGTTTCCTGCTTTACTTCTGACTATATGCTTATTAACTACATTAAGTTACACATTTCAGAGGATGGAGATTCTTCCCAATAACTACCGAACATGAATGCTAACAGAATCCATAAAATTGAGTAAGAAAGCCATTCTGGGACAATGAGTTTGATCTGTATAGAACGTATGGTACTGTCCCTGTCTTTATGGCTCTTGGGTAATAATGCCTAGCTCCTACAGTAAAAAAAATGCTGTTTTACTGTATTGGTCAGGGAGTGACAAGAAGTCTGTGAGGAAGCCGTTTGCTTTTCAAATGCTTTTGATTCTCAGCTGCCTCCCTGAATACAGACCCCATGGACATAAAGGAACTGAAAAGCTAACTTGGGGGTTAGTTCTGGTATAAATTGTGTAATTTGGAGCAGAGTCCTTGATCTTGGTCCAAGCCCAAAAGTATAATGTCTCTTACAGCTTTAAATTATTTTAAATTTTATTCTGTTTTGTCAGTTGACATGGGAGGCTTCATTGTTTAGTGTTTTGAGTTTGTTATTAAATTTTATTTCACTGTACTATAGGCTAACAGGACCATTCCCCTTCTCCCAATATTTTGTATACTGCTTTCATAGGCCCATAGACATCTGAGTAGAAATTTACAGTTTGTGTTTTATCATCAGGAGGGTCCACCTTTTGTGGCATTGCATCACTGTGCCTGATGGGTAAATTGGAAGAAGTCTTTTCAGAAAAAGAACTAAACAGGATAAAGAGGTGGTGTATAATGAGGCAGCAGAATGGATACCATGGAAGACCTAATAAGCCTGTTGACACCTGTTACTCATTCTGGGTGGGAGCGACTCTAAAGGTAAGAGAAGCCATGGAAATGAAGCACCCAAGCCACTTGATATTTGTACCCACTTAAACTTACATAGTAGGGCTTGTTACATACCCATAATAAGGCTAACTAGAGCATGTAGAACAGGGATTGATCTGGAAGTCATAACTGGAAGCAAAAAGTTAATTTAAAAAGATAACCATAGGCCATTTGCTAGAAATCCATTTAAAATTTTTCTTTCTTCTTTATTGTTTGTTTTGCCTAAAACTTCCAGAACTCATTGATTGGATTTTTTACATAAAGTTACTTAGCTGTTATCTGCATCATTTGCATCTTGAAATGCCTTCACCCTAAGAAGCACCCTTGTGCAGTTCTTGTGACTATAGCAAGAGTTTGTGTTCATCTTGTATATAATAGCCTGTGTGTGGTTGAAAGGACTCTGGAAAAGACTGGCTTACAGTGAAGGCCATAGCCTATCTGTTTACTTCTAACGCCATTTTAAAAATGGGTTGTACTTTTGTAGTCAAAAATTTTGGACATACTTAAAATAGAGTGGATAGTGTAGTGAACTCCCACGCATCCCTCACGCATGAGTAGTGGCCCTCCCAGAGCCGCTGTCCTTTACACCTGTTTCAGATACACTCCTCCCAATAACTGTGTTGTCTTCAAGACAGTCATTGGTTTGGTTACGTTTCCTGGAAATTCTTCAGTATGTTTTCTAAATGAAATAACTTAGGAAAACAGCATCCCTAGTGTCAGTACCACATCTAAAAATGAGCCATGATTGCTTTCCACACTAAGTGTCACTTAGTGATGTTGTTGTTTCCTATTGTATCACACAGGAAGCTCCTAATACCAAACTCTCCTTTTGGTCAGAAGGCTCTGACATGTCAAGCTGGTTATAAAATTCTAAAAACTTCTCTTTCATTGTGGTGAGCTGTAGCTTAGTATGTTTAGTACTTTTTATACACTTGTATGTAATCCAGAAGTCAAATGATATCCAGAATACTATCTACCCAGCACTGCCATTGGATCCATGGCCTCTGATCCTGTCAGGAGTGTCCCACTGTCCTCTCCCCAGCCTCCTGTAGTCACTGTTGTGTGTGCTGTCTTCATATGTCATTTCTGGGAATCTCGTCGAGTTATTAACATAACTGACAAAAGCAACTGAAGGAAGGAGGCTTTGATTAGACTTAGAGTTATGCGAGGGAGGGAGGTCTGGCCACAGGAGCAGGGAGCAGCTGACCACTTTGTCCTCCATCGGAGCAGAGAGCAGTGAGTACTGGTGCTTACTTAGCTTTCTCCTGTTTACGCAGTCCAAGATCTTAGCCTGGGGAAGTAGTGTGCCCACACTTGGGGAGGGGGCTTCCCGACTCAGTTAACCTAATCTTGATAGTCCCTCACAGACACAGACACACATTGTAAACCATCACACTCAAATAAGTGCAATCATGCAATATTTGTTCTTCTGTTTCTACCTTATTTCCCTTAGCATAATGTTAGGAACCATCCATCCATTTTGTAGTATATGTGAAATTTTCCTTTTTATGTCTGAGTATTGTTTCTCTGTCTCCCCCACTCCCCATGTAATTTTAGTAGGTATTTACTGAATCTGTAGGTGGGCATGGGTAGAAGTCATATCTTGACAATATTAAACCTTCTTACTAATGAGCTTGGAAAGAAAATAAAAAATACTGTAGTTGGCTAATTTAAGTGCTCAAGTCCCCAGAGATTTCCTCTGAGAGTCTAAGCTAGGGAAAAGCCTATCCAAATGATCAGTAGCTGAAATGTGAGTCACAAGCCAATAAGTTTTGTGCCTGTTAATTTTTGTCATTTTGTTTTTAGCTTCTGAAAATTTTCCAGTACACTAACTTTGAGAAGAACAGGAATTACATCTTATCAACTCAAGATCGCCTTGTGGGGGGATTTGCCAAATGGCCAGACAGTCATCCAGGTAATTACATTTGGCATGAATCTAAAGCAGTATATGTTTTACTTCTTGAGTAGACTTGGTAAGTGTATGTTTTCTTCAGAAATTTTTACGATAGAAAATATTGCCACAGTTCTAACGTTACAATAAATAATATATTTGTAAAAGATAATGTCTGAAGGCTGGTGAAATGGCTTGGTGGATAAATACATCTGCTGCCAGACCTAGTGACCTGGGTTCAATCCCCAGGACCAACATGGTAGAAAGGGGGAGCCAACCCCACACGTTGTCCTTTGACCTCTACAGTGTGCACCCATAAACCTACCTGTACCCACACACAAAGTAGAAGTCATGAAGATATTCAAGACAGAGTTAAAGTATGGGTAGTATAAAGGAAGGGCAAATTGTTAATATATATTAGTATAGTATACGTCCCCTACATCCCTAATACTTACAAATGTTGTATTTCATGTGTGAAAGTAAGGCAGGTGGTCTGAATGGTTCCTATCCAAAACAAGGAGTTACTTGGCTTATCTGAAACATCAGGATCATTAGCTATGACTTGAGCTAATTGTGTTCTAGTTTGCTTTTCTGTTGCTGTAATAAAACTTTGACCAAAAGCAACTTGAGGAGGAAATGGTTAATTTGACTTATTCAGCTAGGTTACAGTCCATCACTGGGAGAAATCAGTTAAGGGACACTTGCGTACTGGCTCCTTCTCTGCCTTGCAGTGTCTTATGTTCAAGCTAGCTAGCTTGCTTGCTTGTTTGCTTCATTTTTTGACATAGGCTTTCACTTTGTAGCCCTGGCTGTCCTGGAATTCACTCTGTAGACCAGGCTGCCTTGAACTCACCACCTGTCTCGTCCTCCCAAGTGCTGGGATTGAAGGTATGCACCAACCCCTCCCAACCAAGTGAGCTTTCTTATACAGCCCAGGATCATGTGCCCAGGGCTATTACCACAGCAGGCTGGGCCCTCCTACGTTTGTCAACAATCAAGTCAGTTACCCACAAATGTGGCTACAAACATGGCAACAGGTCAGTTTGAACTGGACAATTCTTCAGTTGAGGTTCCCTCTTCACAAGTGATTCTAGATTATTTCAAGTTGATAAAGCTAACTGAAACCTGAGGGAAACAAGAATGACTTCTAAGTTTAAAAAAACAAATTCTCAAAACCAAATTCAACAACACATTAAAAAATATTGCTCAAGGGCTTAGGTATAGCTAGTTACTAGAATGCTTGTCTAGCATGTATACAACCCTGGATTTGATCTCTAGCACAATGTAAACAAGATGTGATGATGCATGCTTGTAATTCTACCTCATAAAAAGTGAAAGCAGGAGAATTGGAAGTTCAAGGTCATCTGTGGATACACAATGAGTTTGAGGCCAGCCTGTCATACATGAGACCCTGCTTTAAACAATGTTCATTTACCATGAGCAAGTAGACTACATTCTAGGACTGCAAGGATAGTTCAACACACATGTCACTAAATATATAACATCACATAATTAAGGCTCAAAGATAGATATCACATGATCATCTCAGTACATGCAGAAAAGACTGACAATCTAACATTGCTTCAAGATAAAAGCCCTGAAGAAACTTGAAATAAAAGAGATGTTACTCAACATAATAAAGACTATGCAGGGCACAGCTTTAACCAACATTAAAAAACTCAAAGCACTGCTTCTAAAATCAGGGACTTTCTCTTCTCTTAGTAAAGTTTTAAATTCTTACCTAGAGCAAGGAAATAATGCCAGCAATTGACAAGATCTCGTGAAATTAAAATCTTTCTAGGCAACAGAGGAAACAGTTAATATAGTGAAGAGAGCCTACAGAATGGGAAAATATCTTCACTAGCCATATATCTGAAAGAGGATTAATATCTAGCATACATAAAAACTTAGAAACCTAAATACCAAAATTCCAAATAACTCAGCCCATGAATAGAATGATGAAATGAACAGACAGTTCTCAAAAGATGGAAGTTCAAATGGCCAATAAAAATATGAAAAATAAAAGATTCAGCACGGTTAGTCATCAGGGAAATATAAAATGACATTCAGATACCCTCTCACCCTAGTCAGAATGGCTGCCATTAAAACAAATTACAAGAATGCCAGGCAGGCAAGGGACTCCTTAAACACTGCCAGTGATAACATAAATTATTCCAGCCACTATGGAGATCAGATTGTAGGTTCCTCAGAAGATTAAAAATGGATCTGTCATAATCCAGATGTACCATTTCTGGGTGTATACCCCAAAGAACTGTAAAGTAACATACTACAGAGAGCCTTCAGTAGCCTTGTGTCCTCAATAGTCAAGTTATAGACCCAGCCTAGGTGTCAATCAACAGATGAATGGGTAAAGAAAGTGTGGTATATGAACCGAATGGAGTTTATTCAGAATGAGATTATGTTATTGACAGAAAATGGATGCAACTGGAGATCCTCACAGTAAGCAGAGTGCAACATGCCCAGACAGCTCTTTACCCTCATTTGGGATCCTTGACTTTATATAGACATAGATGATCATTTATACACATATGATATAAAGAAGAAGAGACTGTCAGGTTGGGGAGAAAAGAGGGTACACATGATATGCATCAATGAAATTATCTTATGAAACTCATTACTATGTACAGTGAACATATACTAACTTAGTAAACTTTCTCAAATTCTGAATACAAGTATCCCTCGCTGCTTATACTGTCCTCCAAATTTTGGTGTTTCTGAAAAAGTCAGAGTCTTACTGTGTAGTCCCAGATGGCCTGGAATTCACTGAGAATGTCTTCAAACATGCAGAGATCCATCTATCTCTGCCTCCCAAGTGCCAGGATGAAAGGCTACTACTCTGGGTTTAGATGAGTACCTTTATTTCTGATTTCTCATGCTTCTTGCCTAAAATGCAGGAACCAAATAGCTACCGACCTTATGACTGGCACTCAAAAAATAGCACCCCTCTCTAGCATCCTTCTCAGCCTTTACTCACACCGTTAGGTTTTCCTCTAGCAAAATGAACCTGTTTGTAGTTTGTCTATAAAAGTCATTGCTAAAGTAATTGAGAGCAGGCATGTTTAATTAGCATATTATTGGAGGATTAACTATAGACATACACAGCTAGCTCTAAGGCATGGCATTGTAGCATTGTAATAGAATTGTGGTCTCGGTTATCATAGCATTAGGAAGTGCTTTCTGCTCATCTCTATAGAGCTTCTGTGCTTTGAGTGTGTACTTGAGTCAAACTAAAGAAGAGGCTCATGAAATCATATTTTTGTGCTAAAGTAAAAGGAATAATTACACCTGCCCTTTTTTTAAAAATGTAAAAACATGCTTTCTTAGAGAAAATGTGGGATGCTACAAAGGTATACCCCAACATATGTTTTCACAAATCAATTTCCAAAGCAAAATAATTGGTTTTGAGATTTTTGGTATATATAACACATAGACATAAATATGTTCGATGTCTTAAGAAATTTGTTGATTATTTTGGTCCTGATGCCAATTTTTTTTTTTTTCTGTCAGTGTTTTGACAAATAACAGATATAAGAAACACAATCATTTGGAAAGCATCTCATATATTTGAAATAGCAATTATTTCTGGTATCATGGAATTTTATTTTTGTGGGCTTTTTGTTCAGTTGCCTTTAGGTTTTTGAGACAGGATCTTATAATGTACCCACGTTCCTCTTGAACCCACTACATAGTCAGAGATGGTCTTGAGTCTTCCTCCTGCCTTTGCCATCCAAGTGCTGGCTTCCAGGTGTGGACCACCATTGGGCACAGCTTTCCAGTCTGTTTAGAAGGAAATTCATGGAACTGTTCTCTAGAGAGATCAGTTGCTAAGTTTAGCGTTGGTATCCACATGTGGGTGTGTTGACGACTTAGAGACACGGTGTCCCTGGAGCCTGCACACCATCACACAGACGGTCTGAGGGGCAAGGCCTGCTTGCTGAGCCTTTAGGAGAACCATCTGAGCAACAATTTTCCAAATGAGTGCCCTGACTTGGATTTAGTAAGATTTGTAGCAGATTTGGCCCCAGGACCTTTATTATTTTTGTGGAGAATACATCTGTTTTATTAAAGGAAGTATATCACTGTCTACAGATGAAGAGTTTGGGTTTTGGATTGTTTGAGTATTTTGTTGTGTTTTAAGTTTGAAATTAAGTACTGATTTCTGACTTTCACAAAACTTCTTTGAGAAAAAAATCTCAGTATGGAGAGATTTAGATTTTACACAAGATACAATTTATTTTATTCTCAATTGGTGTTATACTCCTTGCTATTCACCTTTTTCTTTTAACCTTTCTGTGTATGAATATTTTGCCTGTATTTGTGTCTATGCAGCACATGCTGCAGCACCTGCAGATGCCAGAAAAGGGTGTCGGAGCCCTGGAATTAGAGGCACAGATGGTTAGGAGCTGTGGGTGCTGCAGCTCAGAAGGAGAACCAGTGCTCTTGAACTGCTGAGCTAATTCTCCAGCCCCTTTACCTTTGTTTTCCTGGAGGATTTTCTGATTTCTAAACTAGGTTAATACTGCTGTGTTCACCTTGTAATTTTAGAGTAACTTTAAGGAACAGGGAAAATTTTATTTTTTACTCTGAGAATTAGATGAAAGTGAGCCATTTAGCTTGTGACAAAGTTAGACCTGATGAGGTCTTCTGAACTTTAATAGCTCTTAGGATCTTAAATGCTGGCCATTTCAAAAATAGAAAAGTATTCTTCGTTGCTATGAAACTTTTTTTGTAGTGTTCCTGCAACTGCAGAGATCTAAGCATTTCTGAAGTCTATATAAGGTTCTCAGGCAAGCAGAGGCCATGTGTTTTCATGACTGCTCAGCAGAGGGTTGTGGCTCCCTGGAAATGGGGGACTAGTGAGGCTAGGGCAGAGGAGTCCTTACTACACCACGTAGAAAGTGAGTCTGTGTGGACTGTCAGGGAAGAAATGGCACATCTCTCCAGGCAGACTCTCCGTTCCGTCTACTCCACACAGTGTTCGTGTATGCTTAGGAGTTCTGTCTGCTCCACACAATGTTTGTGTATGCTTAGGAGTTCCATCCACTCCACACAGTGTTGCCATATACTTGTGAGTTCCATCCACTCCACACAGTGTTGGCTTATGCTTAGGAGTTCCATCCACTCCACACAGTGTTGCCATATACTTGTGAGTTCTATCCACTCCACACTGTGTTGGTGTATGCTTAGGAGTTCCATCCATTCCACACAGTGTTGGCTTATACTTAGGAGTTCATCCACTCCACACAGTGTTGACTTATACTTAGGAGTTCCATCCACTCCACACAGAGTTGGCTTATACTTAGGAGTTCCATCCACTCCACACAGTGTTGGCTTATACTTAGGAGTTCCATCCATTCCACACAGTGTTGGCTTATACTTAGGAGTTCCATCCACTCCACACAGTGTTGGCGTATACTTAGGAATTCCATCCACTCCACACAGTGTTGGCTTATCCTTATGAGCTTTTGAGACAAAGGGTGGGAGGGTAGGTGTTGCTGCTTGGTTTCAAAGGCTGTTTTTACTTTCATTTTTAGAGAACTTTCTAGGGCTCTGGTTACAACTCAGTGGTGAAGGGTGTGCTGAGAATCTGGAAGGCCCTGAGTTCACTTAGCGTCATGAAAACAAAATTGAAAATGAAAGAAAAAAATTCTTTTATAATGTAAATTCTTTTTTTCTCTATATTTTGGAGTCTGCAGAAGGTTGTTATTCTGATCCTTAGAGAACATAGGCAAAACAATCATGTGATATGTTCCTCTAATAGTAATTTCAGTAATACAGTACATAATTTTGATTGACTTTTTAAAATAGTGCTGGAAATTGAGGCTAATTCATTCAAAAGCTAGCATTTTTTCTAATTCTTTTAATGTAGTGATTGGCTGTAGGTACTTTGCAGTGTGTACAAGTGAGAATGCTGACCATGGCTTGAAATGCCTTTTCAGATGCTTTGCATGCATACTTCGGGATCTGTGGCCTGTCCCTAATGGAGGAGAGTGGAATCTGTAAGGTTCATCCTGCTCTGAATGTAAGCACACGAACTTCTGAGCGCCTTCGAGATCTCCATCAAAGCTGGAAGACCAAGGACTCTAAAGAGTGCTCAGAGAATGTCCATATTTCCACTTGACTGACCTTGGGGTAATGGGTTTGTAGCATAACTGTAGCTCAAGGTTAAAAGCCATGTGTAACCAAGTGTGCTCTTTTTTAAAGGGGTAGTCTTAAGTCAAAGCTTGTACTGCTAACACTTCCACTGTACTGGATTTAAAGAAAATTCTTGTTGAAGTTGGGAACCTTAGCAGGACTCTGTTGTGGTCCTTAAATGTTTATAGTGTGTTTCTGAGTGGTTTCTTGGGACAGATTTACCAAATGTATGCAGGTTATCTTCTTAAAACCCTTCAGTACAAGTTCTGGCTTACAAAATGGATACAAATCTTCAAGTTTACACTTCATATGGCATTGATAATCTTCAGGTGAGCATTTAGTGATCACTTAAAAAATCTCTACTGCTGATGGGAAGAAATTTGCTTTATTGAATTAAGTATCTGGAGTTTTTCTTTAAAAATCGATGGTCTCATAATTTTCTTCAAGAATAACATATTTTGTGTTATTCTTAAGATGTGCCAACTAGACTTGTGTAAGCTATACAGATGAAATTAAAAGTTCATAGTAAGAAAAAATAGGCTTAACTAATACTATAGTTCTCTAAAGAGAGAGTACAGCATAACTGAGGGAGAAGGTCATGTGATTATGAATGAGAAGGGTCTGTCTTGTTTCTTTATCATAGGTTCCTTGGGTGAGTACCTGTTGTGTTTTGTTTTAATCCCAAATCATTGGCTACCTTTTGTCAGGGGCAAGGGAAGAAATAATCTTTGCTGTCTAGAAAAAAGATATTCAGTGTTCTATTCTTCTGAGGTTCATGACACTGTAAATTATACTTGTGTGGTTATAACTGAGTTCTTTTTAGTTGCTTTGATTTTTTTTTTTTTTCCTTTTCAGTATTTTGTAGCCACTATAGTTAGCTGCTTTATCTCCCACCAGGTTGAGCATCCTTAATCCAAAATTTATTATCTGGGCCAGGCATAGTGGCACATGCCTTTAATCTCAGCTCTTGGGAGGCAGATGCAGGCAGATCTCTGTGAGTTCAAGGCCATCCTGGTCTGCATAGTAAGTACCAGACCAGACACAGCTGCATAGTGAGACCCCATCCTGAACTGAAAAAACAAAACAGCAACAAAAATAATAAAATCCATTATCTGAAATGCTCCAGAATCTGAATTTGTTGACTGACAGCATGACACAATTGGAAAATTCCACCACTTCATGCAACAGGTCACAGATGAATTTCAGGGACACTGTAAATAGTATATAAAACTACTTGAAATTACTGAATAAAGTGTATGAAATAAATGCATTCCATGTTTAGACTCGGGTCACATCCACAAGGTAAAGTGTATATGTAAATATTCGAAAAATCTGAAAACAGAATTGAAAATCTGAAACATTATGTTTGGTTCCAAGCATTTTGGATAGTGATACTCAACCTGTAAATAATTTTCTAATGTTTTCAAGTTTGATAAATCTTTAAATATAAACAGAACCACTGAGGTATACATAGTCATTTATATTTTTATATTTTTGGCTACGTGGGAGGGAAATATATCCATCTAGAGGGGATAAATTATGGTTTCACTTATTCATTGTCTTGTTTTATTGTCTTAATTCTGTGAACTAACAACCAAAAGAAACTGGTGTAAAAATCTTGGTTAGCAATCAACTTGTCAATAAATCACATCCATGACTTGGTGACAAGAAGGAAATTTCTTCATTAGAGGAAATGAGTGTGTTAGTCTTGCTAGTAATAAAAGTTGTATTATTAATCTACAGACATCATTGTAAAAGCTAAATTATCAGTGTCACTGGGTAGATAATAGCATTTTCATTATTTCCTAAACTGAAGAGATATTTCCTAAATAAAAAATACTTCTAAAGGGAAACTGAGCATATGATTAAAAAGAATACATCACTTAGTTTTAGAACTGACTTTGCAAAGTCAAATGAAACAGTGCTGGGAGTCTAGCTCGCTTCACTGCCTGGTCTGCACAGGCCCTGGGCTCCCTGGCTTTGATCCTTGGCCCCCAAACTAACAAATCAACCAAATCCTCATTAGAGAGAAATCTTCCAGTGGTGGAGAGAAAAGCTTTACCAACAAATGTTATCCTCCCAGGAGTTGTTCCAGTTGCTTCTGTTTAAACCCAAGCAAGTAACAACAGTCCTGCCTCAAACTGAGTTCTCTCTTAGCCATTAAGAACTGAAACAGCGTGTATGAAAATGCTCTAGGTGTGTATCAGGAGCCAGTGTTTTCCCTGAATTGTTGCTGTCAATTGTTGGAAGGTAAGAAAATTGGTTATTAATAAAGAGAAGATTTATAACAGAAAAGTAATTTGTATTTGCAAACTCCTTGAGTAATTTACTGGCAAAGGAATATTATTGGCAGAATAATTCTAATATACTCTTAAGAGCCAAGGTTCCATGTGATACTTTATGGAGCAGTGAATGTTGGTGTTTCATAGAAACATATCAACCAAAAAATACGGAGTTGTTTTGAAGTGTGGAAAAACTATTTTTAGCTTTTCCTAAATAGATGTGTCTAAGAAAATATTTATTAATAAAATAAATTAAAAGTAACGTTTCGCATATAATCTGTTCTCTCACAGTAGGGGCACAGTAAGAGGAGAAGCATAAAGTTCAGATGTGCCATGCCGTGCCCTCCTAGCCAGCCTCTCTCCATCTCTTCCTCTTATTGAACTTTGGAAGAGTAGTAGCAAGGAACATTTATTTGTCACCTACAGTTTTAGGTTTGACCTCCAATTCTTGTTTTTATTAGATTTTTAAATAGGTATAAGTAATAAAGTTCAAATATAAATTTGGCTGACACAATTTGAAGTGCCAGACCTGATAGTATTTGATAAACAGAGTGATGAAGTCATCTGAAACAAGATGACTTGAAGTTTAAATTACATATCTGCCCGTTGAGCGGCATGATCTTGGATCCAGTTTCCCTATGGTACAATGAAGCGAGCAATAGAATTTCATTCACTAGGCTGATTTAGGTTTAAACGAGATTGTGTATAAAAAGCACTTTGCATACAGTGAATTTCTAGTTATGGTTTCATATGACCATAGAAGTGTTTTTAAAATCTCTTGTACATGGAAATCTTAACAGGGTTTAGACTGCAGGAAGATGCTGCCAACAGAGCAGTTTCTTAACTTTCCCAGTGAGTGACAGAGGAATATTAGGTATAGCCACAGGCGCTGCAACACTGGGGACAGGTGGTACCCATGAGCCTCAGAGTACTGGTGAAAGAACAAATGTGCCCTACCTGTATAGTTTCCCCTCCCGTGCAGAGGGTAGAGGAGGAAAGCTCCCGGGTTCTGAAGCCCTGCAAATTGGAGAACTGTGGTATTGCCATGTTCTCACTACAGAGGAAATGGGCCGATCTGAAAACAAAGGCTCAAACTCAGAAGAGCTCTCCAGATCCTGTCAGCGGTCTGGTGAGTGTGGGGCAGTGGAAAGTATGTTGATCATAGTAGAGAGAACAGCCTGGCCTGATGCCATGTACCTTTTGAAATTAATGAGGTAAAGCACAGCACTGGAAAGAAACTGCTAGAATTAGAATCCAAATTGGACAGGATAGGCCTGGGACATAAAGGAGAGATAGCTAAAAGAAATGTTAGGAGGAAAGGCCTGTCGACACAGATGCATAATTATAGGCAAACATAATCATTTAAATGACAGAAAATGCAAGGGTGCTGGGAAGATGGAGCCATTTCCTAGAGCAACCCTTCCTTCTGAACAATGAGTTAACTTAAAAAGCAGGTGAGTGTTCGGTCCCCAGAGTTAGAGCAGCACCCTCACAGATGAGAGCAAACCGGACCAATGAAACCTAACACTGAAAAGGCGGTGACAGCAGCTATGGTGTGTGCAGTGACATGCACAGCCTCAGAATTGCAGCAAGGAGCAAAACGAGACCAAGCAGAGGAAGGAGGCAGAAAGAAAAGCAAAGGCAGTTAATCTAAAGCCAAGAAACACAAAAGCTCCGGCCTTGGCATGCTAAGGATGCTCAGGGAAACAACCCATCAGCTAACCTCAAAGACACACAGGAGGAGCACGTAGGAGAACTTAAATGACAAGGGGAAGGGCCATTAAACACAGCTGATTTCAAGTTGTCTTAGGAATCTCATGCAAACTCAAAGGTGACGTTTTTAGAGAAAAATGCAAATTGATAAAATTTAATACAGAGACTGTAACTACCATAGGGAAATGCAAATAAAGACCATTGTACAATCTCGTAAGATTGAAGAATCTCAACATTGCTTTAATAATTCCAGAGGCTAGAAAAAGGATCTTGAATCTTAAATTACTACATAAAAGAAATTTTCCCATGTTTACTTTGTAAAGTTGGCACAATCACATTAATTTTAAAACGTAACAAAGATCATGCCAAAAAAGGACATCCTAGGTCATTCAGGCTTGCTGGTATCTCCAGACTGGGACGATAGGTCTTCTACTAGTGTTTGCCACTCAACCATGAAGACCTGAGTTCCATCCCCAGCACCCAAGGCAAAAACTGGGCTTGGTGTTGAACACTTGTTCCCAGTGCCAAGAAAGCAGGAATAGGCAGATCACTGTACGTTGTTGGCTAGCCAGCCCAGCCTAATCGATGAGCCCCAAATCCCCCTGACAAGCCCTGTTGAGAAAATAAGGTGAGGCAGGTGAGCTGTTTGAGTTGGTAGAGGCTCTTGCCACACAAGCCTGACAACTTGAATTAGATTTCCTATAACCCATGTAAAGGCGAAGGGAGAAAACCAACTCCACGGAGTTGTCCTGTAACCTCATGTGTGCCATGACACGTGTGCCCACATACACAAATAATAAATTTTAAAACCTAACATGAAAAGCTGAAGAAAACTGAGGTTGACTTCAGGCCTCCATACCTGCAAACACAAGCATAAATATCAATAAAAAATATTCAGCGAATTGTTAGGCCTGCAACCCAGTAGCACTTGAAAGAGAGAATAAAATTATGGCTCAGTAGCATTTGTATTAGGAATGCAAGTATAATTCAGTTTTAGACCATCTTACTATAGTGTTAAAGAAAAGACCTTTGATCTGATAGAATTAAGTACTCATATCAGAAACTGATAAAGAATTCACTAACATTGCACTTGTACCCTAGAGGCAAGCATCCTACCATTGAATCCAAAGAGTCTTTCTGACGAAGCCAGAACAGGAACATGCTTACTGTCTCCTTTACTAAACACCACACGAGAACTTTAGCCAAGGAAGTCAGAGCAAAGACATGAGTCAGGACGATTCAAATTTGGCAAATAGGATCATCTACTTGAAAAACCCAAAGGAATTTGTTGAGACACCAAACCGTAAAAGAACCCAAGTATTAGCAGTAGTTAAGGTGCAGGCAGCGTGAGGACTGCCTTTCCACATTTCCACCAGATGGAGCCAATTGTTGTCAGAAATGGCCTTCTTTCAGCCACTCCCTCCCTCCGCAAAGTAAATGCTCTCAGGACTGGCTTGGTCATCCCTAGGTCCACTGTTTGTGAGCTCTGTAAGTGCGACCATCTGCTGTACACTGTGTTTTACTTGGCTTCTCTGCCCTACTACAAGAGACTACAAGGGCGCCCTGGTGCTGGTTACAGAGGTGCGTTCATTTTATGAGTATTTACCAAGCTGTGCCATCAGTCATGCTCTGTGCACTGTTCTCTGTGTGTAAATACAATTCAATAAAAGTATTTAGTAAAAATAAAGACTTCATATCTATATCTACATGAACCTAAACCGTTTAGAAGATATACCTCAAGATCTCTGTTTGTGATTGCTGAAACAGACTCGTGTATGAACTCCATCAGACATGTTTGAAACACCTATATGAGAAAATCCTGCTTTGGAAAAAGAAAACTCTTAGAAGACAATAAACTTAAAGCTGTGCCTTATTGTTAATAAGAAGACAGCACAAAAACAGTTTTCTTGGGCTACTTTGTAAATTTAATACCACTGCAATAAATACTATGCTTGTTTTCATTTGAGAGAACGTATTAGACTAGCCATTAAAACTGAGAAAACAAGAAACCAACCCTGCCAGACACAGAGTATGCTGGCAAAAGCTATCAGAATTAAATACGTCCACGCTTTGCTCAGGCAATCCCGTATCTACAAATTTAGATTAAGCACACAAATAGATGATGATGTGCTTCAAGGATCTTCCAATGTATTTTAAGTCATAGGAGAAAAGACACTGTTTATAATACATTCATACAGTGTGATACTATACAAGTGTTAAGAAAGACACAATGGTGTTTGTAATATATTGCTAAATGAACCAAAAGTTTAGTATTAAAAAATAGTTCAATAAACAAGGGAAATGAAATGTTAGAATTAGTCCCAGCAGCACATTAGAATAAAGGCAGCTTCTGAAATCAGTGAGAAGGAGAACTTGTAAGTACCTATTTCCCTAAGTAGCTCTGTGTAATTGTTCACATATTTACAAATCCTTGAAGGATTTGTGTCATCCATCTCAAACCTTTGCATGTTGCACTGTACACCAAGATGCTGTGTATTCTGTGTTGTCAGTCATTCAGTGATAGGGATGTCTTTTAATATGTAGATTTTATCAGTTGCTGAGTATTGCCTCAGTTGTCATTATGGATGACTTGTTTTTCACAGTTACAAATATGTTGCTGTAAGATTCTTGAGAATGTATTTTCACACTGCCTATTTGTGTGTTTCTTTTAGGTACATTTATGGATATGGAATTGTTGGGATAAACTTTTGTACATTTTCAATTCAAGTAGCTCTTGGCAAATTACTTGAAAATAATCTGCTGGTTACTTCCTCTGTGGCATTGGGAAAGACTGGTGACTTAGTTCCTTGTCCTCATCTTGCAACTTGGTCTAAGCTCCCGATTCAGAGTGACTGACGTTAGGTCTGTATTCCCAGTAATGAGGCCCACACTAGAGCCCATGCTTTCCATGTCTGCTCTTTAACTAGAGTGTTTGTCCTCCACCCTCTGGATTCTTTCCACATTCCCAAATGTTCTGCTCACTTGTCATTAAAGCTCTACTTGGAGCCGGGCGGTGGTGGCGCACGCCTTTAATCCCAGCACTTGGGAGGCAGAGCCAGACGGATCTCTGTGAGTTAAAGGCCAGCCTGGGCTACCAAGTGAGTTCCAGGAAAGGCACAAAGCTACACAGAGAAACCCTGTCTCAAAAAACCAAAAAAAAAAAAAAAAAAAAAAAAAAAAAAAAAAAAATCTTTACTTGAATTAAGGACTGTTGTTAAAAGTGTATGTGGGATTTCCTGAAGTAGTTGAAGATAATAGTCTGTGCATACATGGTGTCTTCATTTTGGAAGGCGGTATATGGTTCTATAGGACTATATAATATAAAGTTTAGGGTTTTTTTTTTTAAGTGTGTGTAAAGGCTAGGGATGTAGGTCAGCAGTAGAGCATGTACTTAGCATGCACCATGCTCTGGATTCCATCTCCAGCACCATCAAACAAAAATATTATGTGGGAACATAAAAGGCATGTAACACTGAAATGAAGTGAAAGATTTATTGATGGCTAAGATTCATGGCTGGTCTTGCCCCTTATTCTGTCGTTTTTGAACATGTCAGG